GGTTGAGATTGGGTTGTATTGGTTGCACAAATGTCAAGGGTTGTATAATAACCAACCTATATATATACTACATTAATAAGCATTTAAGACAAAGTCTTAAATACAACTCTTTAAGCACAAGTTACAACCATTTTATGCAAGATTTTCAAAAAAAACTCTTAAATACAACTCATCAAGCATGTGGTACAAGCTCTTTATGCATTGAGTTTATTAGCCATGGTCAGACGTTGCTTTTTCTCTTCTCTTTTGTTCTTCTTCCTTTTCCAGCTTCCTTTCCTCTGGTCATGAATCCTGCTGTGCGCCAAAACAAAATTGGTAAAGTCAGCCTTTGCTTTCTTCAATTGCTCCAACTTTTGCACATTCTAGCCCTAATTTCAGCCGTCTCGCTTCCCTTGAACAAGAAGAACACCGATACCGCATCTATCTTCGTCCCTCTCTCTCCCGTGCTCTCCTCGCTCTCCTCCGTCGTCCCTGCTCTCTCATCCGCCTTACCAGCATCGTCGTCTTCTTTCATCACACAGCAGGTGAATCATCGCCGTCTTCTTTCTCATGGTCTTTGATGTGTATTGAAATTGTTTCCTTTGAGTTATTTTTGTGTAGTAGATCTGTTAGAATGTTTGTGCTGGGGAAGGTCTCGTAAATATATAACATGGTGAGTTTATGAAGTTAAGAAAAGTTTTGAGCAATTGACAAAATGGAATAGGCAATATTCTCAAGTATCTTGCTACATATTTTATTTTCAGTTGTTAAACTGATTCAAGGTACTTCAATGGAGATTTAAAAGGATAATATCTTCTTTTTTTCTAGCCGTGGTATCAAACATCTTTGACCTAGATACCACAGCTTTTCCTTTTGGTGGTGGGGACACGATTGTAGGGGTAGGATGATGGTTACACCCCTGCTTTATATATATGGGATTATGGAGTGGCTACCAACGGTTGTTCATTGAAGGATTATTAAGAAGGTGGAGCACTATAATACATCAATATCTTCACATACAAACTAAATCAAGCACTGCTTATGAGGTTTTGGATATTCAAAACGCTTATGAGTTAAGCTTTGGATTTGCACATTTTTCTAGCGAACAAGCTGTGTTCTTTCCTTTTTGAAGTATAATAATTAATGATAATTGCTTATATTCACTTGCAAAGAGTTCTTAACAAATAATGTTAAGATTTCTTTGTTCACTTGTATCCAAATCTTAATTGTTTTTTATCAAGTTTTAGGCAAAATGACATAGACTTAAAGCTCTTAAAAATATTTGGTTTTATAAGTGGTTCTGGTAAGAATATTTTTATTATATATTTATAGTAATTCCATTTTCTTTATTCAATATCTAAGGGAAACAAGTTAAGGCCTGGTCCACCTGTGGTTGAAGATTGGTCTCTTTCTGATGCACCCAAAAAACTACAAATCACCATCAAAAGCAGTTGTTCAGGTCCCCAATACCTCTCAAAAAAGGTACCTTTTTTGGTTTTCTAAATTTTGTGTTCATCACCTCTCATTATTTTTCATCACATTTTATCTCCCAAATTGAGAACAGTATCAAAGATTTGTATCTATTGTCTACGCATGGAAATACTGTCATTTCTGCAGCACTTTGGATTTCATATCTTTTTTCTTGCAGGCTAAATATCTTTACAGATTTTTTTTTCATTATGTTGGTTTGAGAAATAAAGGAGATTCACTTTTTAGCCCTTTTCAGACCTTACTTTACTTTGTAGGCGATCCTTACGCTCATATGCTTGATGATTGGTTTTTTCGCAAAAAAAGAAGTGGAATTCTTGCATAGAAAGTGGCTGAAATTCAATCCTTATGCATATGTGTAAGCCTTCTGCCTGAGGATTGGCTACGAAGTGAAATGAGGTCTAAATATGGCTAAAAAGTGAAAAAAGCTAGGGAGATTGGAGGTGCCATTGAGGAGTTGCAAAATGCATCTGGTGGGACAGTGCAAACACCCATGTGCAGACCTTGGGACAGAGAGAACTTGCTGAAAAGACTTGCTACTTTAAAGTTAATGACTTGGTTTGCTAAACCTGAGGTTAGAAACAACTACTAAATATTAATGCAATGATATTTTTTTATGATATTCCCTTGAGAGAGAGAGAGAGAGGGGAGCAAAAGATTGTCTCAAACAACTAAACAAGTAATCATATTAATTCTTGTTGGCAGTTGGTGAAACATTTTGATTCAGTAATAGTGGAATTACACTTCTAAGAATTTGAAAAAACATTTTTATGTTCTCAATTGGCAAACTTGCTGACGTATATTAGTGACATTACATCCTAACGAGCTTCTTTCTTTTTCTTAGAGAGAGAGAGAGAGCATCCACTCCATTTTTAATGCTTGGAAGTTAGTCAATTTTTTAGCTAGATATTTCTAAAATATGTTCTCGTGAGCTTCTTACATATTTGTATGAGAGTGCAGTTGAATAGCTGATCTCTGGCTGCATTTAATGTGCAGGGGTCTGCTGTGGGCCATCTTGTTATCTCTCATAGTCTCGTACTATGTTTTAATTAAGCATGATATGGTACTATATTTTCTAGGCGCTGGGCCATACCTTACTAATGATTAGTCACACTTCAGTGGAGGTTTCTTTTAACAATATCATGCAACTCTCATTGCAGTTTATTCATATTAGTTACTGGTGATACATGGAACATAATCCTCTTCTCCTTTGGCTCAATGGTTTGTTCTTTTTATATCATTTTCTTTCTAGATTCTGGTGTAGTAGAATGGTTTGTTCTTTTCATATCATCATCCATCTTTTGCTAACAAGCACATATCGGATGCACAATCGCGTAGCTATTGTTTATTGTTGCTTCCTGTTGATTTGTACCTACACAATTTTGCAAGATAATCAGCT